ATTCTTGCGATGCGTAACAGTACGCCAAAATGTTTGTGCACTGCAAGTGTACACGTGATTTCAATTTTAGCATTTATCTAGTAGAACCAGAAATATTAACGCATCGGCAGATATTCTGTTAGTGTGTCTCTCCACCCTCCACACCTTGCACAAAGATAATGCCTAATTTATCGTTATTCAGACGTACTGTACGTTTTTTACCGGCAGTAAAGGGCACGGGCATGTGACAATGTCATCGAAGGGCGTGGCAAAGGTATTTTTACGTTGCTGCTGTCCATGCCTTCATATGCGGCTCACACACAACAGTCTCGAGGCTAACTTTCCCTTTGATACACCAAGCCAAGTAGAGCAGCTTCATAGCAGGGTACTCGTGCAGCACTCCAGGACTGAAGTGTCGCCCATTGCTTCACAGCGAACTGTGGTAGAGCATTTACTGGCCCAACGAATATAAAACGGTTACGGTTGATTACTATTCCGAACGCTTCTTCAATAAGAAAACATGGCATTGTCCGAGTTTATCGTCGTGCTCCTCCATGCAACTGGACGCGCACAGTTTGTTGAACATTGTCGGAGGCAACATGCTTTTCTGATACTTGGTTCATTTTTCCAAAGCAGCACACACTTCAGGATCTTCTAGAACACAATATTTTTGGTGATGCTGAGAAAGTATGTTGAACCACTGTTTACTTTAACTAGTGGTGCATTCCAGAAGTGCCAGAAACTCTCAGGTGGTAAGCCATGTGCACGACTGGAGCACTGCACTTCGACTTCATAGAGCAGAGCACTGCACAGCACTGAAAGTGGTGCAAAAAGGAGAGCGGAAGCCGCTTCACCCCTCAGTTTTTGTATTAAAGAAACATGGGCTGCTCGTCAGCTCTTTGGCATCTCTACACTGGATTGGTTAGATGAATTAGTTAAATTGCTTCCCGTCCTCATGGCGTGATATCAGTTAGCAGGCGTTATGGTGTGTTGTGAGAAACAAAGCAAGGGTTGGCGTATGCGGATGGGCACAGGATGGCAAGCAGTTCTCATTGTATGCAATCGCTTGTATATGTGGCTTTTAAAGTGGTTGTGTGCAGCTCGGCACACATGCTCTGCTGTTTCGTCAGGGATGCTTTAAGCGGCAGCATTTTATGTCACGGAGCATGAACAAAGTTGAATTTAGTGTTAAACGCGCTTTCGTTCAGCAAGTGTGCATGCAATGTGGACGAAGACCTGTGGTATTAGTCAACTGCCACCATACAGGAAAATTGGACGCAGAACCGTCAACAGCGAATAAACAGCGAGCTACATCAGGCTAGGGCCTTCAAAGGCAACTGTATCCCCATCAAAATTATGTTCACTGAGCAGCTGTTAGGAAACACAGACGCATGCAGCGCGGAAGCTTGGCAATAGCCGATACTAAGTTATGACGTTTAGTAACACGATGAAAACAGAAAATATTTCTCAGTTTTTGCAAACATATATGCAAGCCAGGCCGAATTTGCAAACAGGCCGAATTTTTTATGATGTTCGCAAAGACTGCTCTGGAAGTCTTTTACCGCATTCGTCCATGTTCGGGTCTGGCTCGGACGGCCAACTGGCTCGTCGCTTGCTTCAGTAAGGAGTGAAACGTGCTACATTTGCGGATAGGATATGCAAGCGAGAGCAACTGTATCCTGTAAACGGGACGGAATTTTGTTTCACAAGGTCTCGTGCTACAGTGCCGTGAAGCTCTGGATATGTTTATTCAAAGCTTGGAGAAAAGAGAATTAAATGCTGCACCTGCGTTTATAAATTTAAGGGTCCGTTATACTGCTACTGTGTCACAGTAAGGTCTTCATCTGGCACTGTGCATAGCACTGATGATACCACAAAATTCCATGCCAGCGGCGACGCAACAGGTCTTTCCATGGGACAGGCAGGATTGAGGCTACTAGTTGCCATTCCAGAACTTAGGGGAAAGGCAGAGGATGCGCTTTATGCAGATTACGGTGCGCCTGGATGGTTCCTTTTATGCAGAATACGCAAGTGCCTTATGTCGTTTCCCGTCAATTCTTTAACCGCTCCACTTAAATGCAACTGCAGTAAGTGCGTCTCCTCTAGCACAGCAGCGCATGGTCTGTATTTTTGGTCATGTAAGTGCGTACAGCTGCATATTAACGAGCTATTTTTCATTCCAATCGTGGATAACGCATTCAGTAGTAATTACACGTTTGCAGCCATTACTTGCTGAGAGCAGCTTATCAGGAGAAATACACTGTAAAGTAGAGGTCGTGAAAAAACTTAAGCGCGTTTGCTCTTCACTGCATTTCTGGCATCTACTGACAGCACATGCTGCTTCATTGCTTTGATGATTTTTGAACAGAAGCTGCTCAATGACATAAATGTACAGAATTGCTCGTCGCCACAATTAAGGTGGGCTAAAGCCCACCTTAACAGTCAGTTCTCAACCCTGAATGCTCATTGAGATCCGGGTAAAATGCAGGATTTCAGGTTTTAAAGAAGCACACCAGAAGCAGTCGAGCTGAGCAGTTGCGCTGCAACTCATAGTTTCTTCACCTGGTAGCGGGAGAGTACTTGGTAGTTCCTTCTACTTCAGTAGTTTGATATCACCTGAACAGCAGGCCGTCAACAGTCTGCCTTCCCAGGAGCTCAAGAGACCCGAGAAAACTTGCTCTCTTTGTACCTTCTGGCGACATAGTAACAAGCAGGTCTGTGGTATACTCCAAGAGCTTTCGAGCATCGACAGAAGCCGTCGTGACTATTCCAGCGTTTAGCGGGGCATTGCATGCTGTAACACGCCTCCCTTCATTGGAGTTACTTAACTGTGTAATGACGCGCAATGTTAGCTTCGAACAATGCAGTTGTATCATAGCCGTGAAGAACTGTGAGCTGCAGCGCAGAACTATGTCACGCGAGTTGTAGTAATGCAGTACTTGTCACAGATCATCGGCTACTAGGACATTTTTACTACGGGACGGTGCGTAAGAAGCCCTCTACGAGAAACTCTCTGGCCACTTGCGAGCTGGACGGCAGAAGGCATCAACGTTTTCGTGTGCTTACCTGTCTGTGGGTGCCCAGCAGCAAACTAGTAGTGTAGCATCATCAAAGAACACTGTAACGCATCGCGTTACACGGATGTTTAAAGTATGCGCCTAAACGCAACGGGAGCACTGCTGCTGAGTGCAGTCTGTGTGAGGTTGCTCTCGTCTAGGTCAGAGCGGCAGCAGGACCAGTTCACTGAGCGCTCTGCTGTGTACAATGCGAATTTTGGACCTCTCGTTGCTCGACCATCGCTCTTGGTCAGTCCTGCAGCTGTTAGTCTTTGTCCTGGACAGTCGATGTACCAACCGCTAGAACTTTAAAACTGCATGCAGGATCTGCTGCACATATATATACACATATGTATGTATGTATATATGTATATCCATATGTATATTTATATGTATATACATATATTATGTATATATTTTATATATATATATATATACATGTATATACATATGTATATATATATTATGTATATATATACACATACAGTATATATATGTGTGTATATATACATAATATATATATGCTGGCTCTGCTTTTGCTGGCTAAAGCATCTGACCCGGAATAGTATCGGGTAAAAAACGAAAAAGAGGGGTTAGACTACGCAGCTTTCCCACCCGCTTCTTTCAGCATGCTCCACAGCGGAGCCAAAAAGCAAATATGTGTGTGTGTTGCAATCTCTGGAGATGGAGCGGGACACACAGAAACACGCGCCTCAATTGCAACAGGCTAACAATGCTAAGCGAAGCACAGAGATGGCAAACGGGACAGCTGGACTTGAAGACAAAGAAGAAACTCTGTGTCCTTAACATAGCTTTCAGAAGCTTGGGAAGGGCAACAGGGATCTACGGACTAGTTGTCCCGGCGACTGGACGGCATATAACTGAGAGGGCCAAAAAAGACATTCACAGGATTGTGACAGCGCAACTAGGACCCAAAAGGCAGGAAATGATCAAAGTGAATGGTTGGATGTAATGGGAAAGACTTGTGAAGTTATGTAGCCCCGTTCTTCTGACTAGGATAGCACGAAAAAGTGGTCACACCTACGTACGTTCGCATGCAGAGTTATTGCCGATGCGTCAGCGTGCATATAGATTTGCAATACAGGGTGCCACTCCTCGTGAATTCACCATAAGTATATAGCAACTGCAATAATGCAGCGGCTCAAAGGCCAACGTCGCTGTGGACGCTAAGCTGCCACTAACCACTCAGTTAAGCGCAATTAATTATTTTGATATTTATATCCGTAAGTTTCTTCGAAGGGAAAGGTGGCGGGGTCGTGCAGCAAAAATCACGGGGGCCCCCTTGGGGCCCATAGGGGCCCCGGAGGGGTCCTTCTAGGGGGCCCTACAGTGTGAATGGCTGCCCAAGAGTACGCTGGAATTTGTTACACACCTTTCTGCCCAGTGTTTTGTATGTTTTTGTTTTTCTTCTCGATTAAATTGAATAAAATGGATACCTAGCTGGATAAGGTAGATGGAGAGGACATGACAGCTGGGACGGCTACTGTTGGCTGCGTGGGGCCCACATTACTACTTCGGATGCTACTCTTGCTGCTGAAGGATGTGTTGTCATATTTTCACGATACTGCTGCCTCTTTTTTTTGGAGTTGAATGCATTAAGGTGCATTAATTTTATTCGTTTATCTTCAGAATTAATTTCAAACAAGCAAGAGGGACAACACAGCGCACTCACCTGCCTGGCCCCCCGCTGCCCCGCAGGTCAACTGAACAGCAGCAGCACTAGCAACGCGCCTCAATAAGCTCCTCAATTTCGTTGTAATTTTTGCTTTTCCTCCGTCTTTTTGATTTTTATTGAACATTTTATACCGCGAAAGCATTTGTTCGGCCATGGTCTGAACTGTGGCGCACAGTAGTAACTCCGGGAGCCGATCGCGCCGCGCAGCCAGCAGCTGCTGCCGCTGCTGCTGTTGCGGCGAGCAGCAGCAGCAGCAACAGCAAGACAACATGCACTGTAGCTGCGGAGATTTGGGCCGTGCAGAGCCCTTTGGCGAGCTACTTCGAGCAGCTAGCCTTCCACATCAGCAGCACCTGCAGCAGCTGCAGCAGCAACAGTTCCAGCAGCACCTGCAGCTGCAGCTGCAGCAGCTGCCACTTCCGCAGCACTACATACACAGACCATGCATGCAGCACCAGCAACCACAGCAGGTGCCACAGCAGCGGCTATCGCAACAGCAGCAGCAGCTGCCGCCGGCTCAGCAGCAGCTTCTGGAGCAGCAGCAGCACCACCACGTGCTTCACGAAGGTTGCCTGCATTCTATAAATAAGCGGGTAGATGTGGAGCGCTTTGCTGCTGCTGCTGCAGCGGAAGAGCCGCCCTTGCGGCGTGGCTGCCGAGAGACACATCCTCTAATGCAGCAGCTGCTGGAATACCAGCGGCAGCAGGAGCAGATGCTACAGCAGCAACACCTGCAACAGCTGCAGCAGCTCGATCAACTGCTACAGCCAGACACTCAAAACAGCGTATCTTCCCAGCCCCCTGGGTTTGTACAACAGCAGCAGCAGCAGCAACATGAGTGTAGGAGCGGATCCATATGCAAGGAAGCTGCGCACCAGCAGATCCAGAGAAGTGGATTGGAAGGATCGCAGAAGCACCAACTGCAGCAGCAATCGTCGCAGCAACCTCCGCCGCCCCTGCCGCAGCGGAAGCAGCAGCCACAACAGCAGCAGCAGTTACCACCAAAGCAACAGCAGCCGCAGCAGCAGCCGCAACAACAACCGCCACTTCTGCAAAGTCCTAAATTGGAGGGAAGGCGGCTACTGCTGCCAGCAGCAGGTCTACGGGAAAGGAGGAGGCAGAGTGCATCTTCTCTCAGCCCGCTGCTACCAACCCCGCCACAGCCGCTGCCGCAGCTGCAGCAGCAGCAGCAGCTGCCTCACAGGCGCATGCACAGCAGCAAACCACACATCGAGAGGATGTCTGAGTTGCGTTACTTCCACAAGACGCAGGACAGGAAAATTAATACGCGCTTGCCGAGCCCAGAGGAAGGAGCAGCAGGCTGCGCCAACTCGCAGCAGCTTCTGAGGCAGCAGCAGCAGCAGAAGGCACAGAAGCAGCAGACGTACAAGCAGCAACAGAACAAGGGCCAAGAAAAGCTACATCAGAAGCAGCAGCAGCAGCAGCACTCGCAACAGGAAGAAGTGCAGCAGCAGCTGCAGCAGCAAGACGGCCAGCAGCAGCATGTGGACAAGCAGCAACAGGAAAAGCAGCAGCAGCAGCAAGAGGACAGTGCATTGAAGACCTCTTCGCCTTCGTGCAGCCTGTCTCCTCAGCAAGAGGCTGCATTGGCGCAGCTTCTGCAACAGCGCAGCAAGAGGGTTAGGGTGGAGCAAGTGGTGCTGCGACTGCTGCGAGACATGCAGTGCCGTAAGGGTAAGATTTCCTACAAGCAGCAGGAGCAATTGCAGCAGCTTCTTCTGCTGCAGCAAGTGTTGCTGCAACAGCAGGCGCAAATGTGGGACACTGCGTTGTTGCTGCGGGCCTTGAACGGAAGCGCGCAGGTGCAGATGCAAATGCAGCAGCTGCAGCAGCAACAACAACTGCAGCAGCAGCAGCAGCTGCAGCAACAGCAGGAACAGCACGGACAGCAACAGCACGCGTTCGAGTGCGAAGTGAAAAATAGTCTTAGCCGCATCCGGCTACAGCAGCAAAACCACCACAAGTTGGTGATGCAGATGCAGCAGCAAGTAGCAGCAAGTCGTGCTGATGTGTTGCAGGCAACCGCAGCGCAGCAGAAACTGAAGCAGCGACTGCAGCAGCTCAACGTCGAGTTCAGCAGACTGTCCTTTGGAAGCTCTGATGACATGGGGGAGGTCGAGAAGCAGCAACAGCAGCTGCGGCAGCAGCAACAGCAGGTGCACGAGCAGCAGCAGGTACTCCAGCAGCTACAACAAATACGACAGCAGATGCACCAAGATGTTGCCGCAGCAAGACACATCAGCCGCTGTCTCAGGCTGGAGGCGTCAGCTTTGTACGACAGACGCAGAAGAGCACACAGGCGCAGCAGTGTTCTCAAAGGCCCGCGTCGAAACGGAGCGCCTCCTGTTGAAGCAGCACCAGCAGCTGGAGCTGCTGCTGCTTCCCCAACAGCAGCTGCAGCCGCACCAAGACCGACAACGCCAGCTTCCTTGTATGCCCGAAATAATGCGGCGGGCTTCTAATGCAGCTCATGCACTAGCTGTCGCAGTAGCAGCAGCAGCAGAGGGGATAATTTGTGGTGTCCACAAGTCAGCTTCGGTGTGGGATATCTATAGGATTTCTGGAGCAAGTGCAACAATGACAAAAAAGCGCAATCAATGCAGCACCATACAGTGCAGCAGCAACAGCCAGCTGCCAGGGTCACCCGCATCGTTGCGTTGTGGAAACGCAGCAGCAAGAGCAGCAGCACCAGCAGCAGCAGCAGCAGCAGCACCAGTATCTAGGTCATCGTTAGCAGCCGTGGCACTGTCGTGGGTAGAAACTGCAGCACAACAGCAGCCGAACGAAGGTTAGTGGGTTAAACAGCAGTAATGTAAACGACAGCGCGTTTTCCAGCAGCAGCTGCTGCTGCTGCATCAGTAACAGCAGCAGCAGCAGCAGCAAATTTACCATTTTGTTCAGGGACTTGGAGGTCCATTGTCTTCCATACATCGCAGCAAGGACCTCCCGTACGCTCCTCTCTTTAATGTGTATTTATGTCAATACACTTCTGTTTGGGATCCGATCCCGCATGGGATCCGTACCCAGGTGGGGAACCGATCTCATCTTGGATCCGGTCCCCCATATTCATTTGACCCCCAGAAAGGATTCTATCCTTTGTCACGAACCAAAACAAAGGGTGGTGCACAGAGGAATCTGAGCCCGTGTGGGGTCTACCTCAAGGTGGGATTGGATCCCAGGTATGGAACCAGTCCCAGGTAAGGATCCCATTCCAAGCAGGATCCAATCCTAACCCTTGAGCCGCTTCCAGGTGAGTTTCAAGTCTGATTAGATCGTATGAGGGGTCTGATCCCCAGTTGGTCCCTTATGGGATAGAGGCCCGTATAGGGAGCGATCCGACCCCTTGCTGGGTAGGAACCCATGTCGCATGTTCATCTTTTCAATTGGGAGGCGATCCCAACTGGGAGCCGTTCAGAAAGTGAGATTCTGGGGTGGGATCTGGTGGAGACCGATCCCACGATGGTTCCCTCTGGAGTCCGATCCCATGTGATATCGGATTTCCGTATAGGATGCGGTCCCTCGTGGGATCGGATCTCGATATTCCTAGACCACCCTCTGCGGGAGGTGTGGGGCGTGGAGGGTGTCCGCAGGGCCCCTGCTGCGGTGTACGTACAGCCGGGGTTTTCCTTAAGCCTAAGCCTTGAGTCAAGCATCGAATGCGCAAAAAACGTCTAGGCTAGAACGAATAGGTCGTGAAGGATTGGGTTGATAGGGTTGCATTACGCTTTAGGGCTAGGGAGCTGCGAGTTCGTGAGGTAGCAGGGTTGCTGAGCGATTGTACTTGCAGCTAGATATCCTCTGGCCGAAGCGTGGGGCAGGCCCCTGCAGTAACAATAGTTGACTCCCTTTGCACACTGTTTACTTTTCTGTGATTTCGGAGAGAACGCTCTTTATCGGCGGAGTTATCGGCTCCTCGGTAGTCTGAAGTGCGGAAACAGGGCGCAGCTCTAGGGTCGAAGGTCAATTCATGTTTTGCAGGCCCAATCCAGCCATTATGTCACAGGATATTTCCCTGAACGGGTCCGCTTGGCACTGTGTGATGAAGAGCGTTCACAGTACAGTGTACTGAATTCGAAGAGGATTGCTACCCCCTTGATAGCAGGCCAGAAGTTCCTACAGAAAACAGAAGCAGCCATCCTAACATTTATTTTATTTCTGTTTTATTGAATAAATGTGAATCTTAACTGGATTCAAAATAAGATGGATCGATCTTTGTCGCCTGCGGTAGCTGCATGCATGTTGTCCTTCCAGCCGCAGTGGCATCGCAGCGCTTGATGCTGGTGTTGGAGCCACTACCGGCACTGTTTACAATATTCACATTTGAAGTAGAATATTCATCCTTTTTGTTTGCTTCCTGCAGGGGACGCAGGCCTTTGTGGCGGGCTTTGGGTGTTAAGTTGGTCCTAAACCCAAAACCATCATAATTTCGTGTGTCGTCCTTTCAGTTCTTTCCCTCGCGACCGCTGGTCACCCCTTCTGATGGCTCTTAAACGTCTTAAACACAATGAAGAATGTTCTTTCTCTGGGTTACAAGTCAGCAGCAGTGGCGGCCGGCAGCGCAGCAGTACCAGCTAGGTACTCCCCACATGTTGCAGCAGCGACAGCAGTAGCAGCAGCAGCTGCTGCCTCGGCAGCACCTTCTGCACCCAACACCATAGGAAACACAGTATGCTTGCTCGGAGCTCGCTCGGCAAATGCTCGCAGAGCCAGCACAACCCGTAATGGCCCCCAAGAGGGCACACTCAGGGGCCCCCAGAGGGGCCCCAGCTCTCCATGGGCTCCTATTAGTGCCCTGGCTGCGAATATGCCTTGGAATGGTGGCAGTGTTAGCGCGCCAATCAGCAGCAGCAGTAAAAGCAGTGTTTTTCAAGAACGTCCGGCCACCTCACCCTCCGTTTCTGCACCAGCAACAGCACCTGCGTGTGCTGAGAGCCGCAGAATGCGTATTTGTCAAATATTCCATCAACTGCAGCTGCAGCAGCACCAACAGGTGTTGCTGCAGCTCCAGCAGAAGCAAGAACAGCCTCACAGCCTCTTTTCAGTCAAGATCTACCCCTCAGGTGTAGCAACAGCTATACAGCGCCGAGCCTCATCTCATGCTGCACATGCATCTCAGGGCGTGGCTTCACAATCGTCGAAGCAGCAGAACAGAACACAAGCTGCAGGAGCCCCAGGAGGTCCCCCGGGTGGCCCCGGTGCGGCCCCAGGGGGACCGCGCTCGAAGTGGAGGTTTGTGAAGGCCGCGGGAAGACATGCATTGGCGGCGACGAAGAAGTTGGCGAAACTGTTGTGGCGGTAACTTCAGACCCTAGGAACTACGCGTTTTATGTGAACGCTATTCTTTTACCGGTCTGCATCTGGAGTTGGCAGTCTTCTCAAAATACGTGTAGATGCAGCGGAGGCAGCTGCATAATTAGTTTGGCCGTGCGCCGCTAAACACTTTACCGTTTGAGCCGATCCATCGTTTGTAAGTATCGGACTATGTATTTGTTGTTCACATGTTCACTTTCTCAGTTTCGTCGTGATCACCTGCCGGTACACTGCAGAGTTCATTCGAAACCCCCGCGTGGTGGAGAAGTGGTACGCGAAGGCCAAGCATGGTACGCAGACCCACATATATTAGTCGTGCCGTTTTGTTTGTTGATTTTTCAGATATATATTGTTGTTGCTTGTTCTTTTTATAATGTTCTAGCTGTGTTTGGTGTGTGTTTTTGTCTTTGCTTTCTAAAGTTTGTTGAAGAATTGCTGTTCGTCTCTCGCTGGCGGTTCGGGGCATAGGGTTTGGATGACGTGTGTGGCGCGTGTGGTGCTGTGCTTTTTAAACAAATAGTCGTTTGTACTTATCGCACCACAATTCTTCATTTGTGATTCAGTGTTCATTACATTACATTGTTAAGAGGCCAGGGTCTAGAGTCTCGAGTTGAGGGTTTGGGAGTTTGGGTCTGTGCAGCAACGCTTCACACGGTGCGCTGGTGCTTGACTGGTTTTCGTCTGTTCTTCGCAAATGTCCGCGTGTCATATCAGCTGCTGAAGAAGAAAATACTGGGTTATCCTCTGAGGTATAATGAGCATAAGCTGCTGGTAAGACGAGGGTAGAGCTATTGTCATCATTTTATTTCGTCTGTCTTGCTTTATCCCTTTGCCTGATTCATGGTTTTGCTGTGGCTTTGGGGGGGTTGATTTTTCTGTCAAGCCTGTTTCTGTTTACGATGGCATTACTGCCGGTGCTCCCCTACTTGCTGCTTCAAGGGTCAAACTACTATCGTGTGCTGTGTCCTGTTTGCGTGCAACTCCTTGACTACATTATGAAAATGACCAATGGGTTGAGCGCTTTGCTGCGCTTACAGGTTCGTACTACAGCAGACGCCCTAAAGCTTATCCCCTTCTCGTTGCTTATTATTGTGCCGCTGGGGGAGCTGCTGATTCCCGTGGCTCTGCGGCTATTCCCAAACATGTTGCCTTCTACTTTTAAACAGCAGTAAATGCGACACAAGAACAAATTATTATAGCGAAGATTAGCCAGTTAATATGGTTAAAGAAATGCGGAAGAAACAGTTAAACAAGGACTTTTTGAATGCACTAATCAATTAGCTATGTGGACACTAGATGTACCCACGGGCCAGCCCCATGACCGTCTGAAAGCCAATGAGAAGCATCTGCTCTGCTGGCTTATTTATAACTTAGCATATAAACTGCACTCTGCTTAGTGGTTTATAAATTAATAAATAAATCAGAAAAGCACATTTTTCTTTTTTCTGTATGTTTGTGGGGCTGGCCGGTGGTCGTAATTTGGTCACCTGTCAAGGTGTAGAGCAATAGAGAAGGTAATATAATTAGCTAAATAGTTTCGCAACTTTAAGTTAACAAGGTGTACAAGTGAGTGGCTGCTTACGGGTAGCGCCCAGATCGTTTCCGTTTCTGCTGCTTTTCCTACTAGTCCCGTTGCTGGCGCTTCTGCTGCTGCAGGCCCGTGGACCACGCCTTCCTGAGTCGCAAGCTGCAGGCTAAGCAGGAGTTGGCGGCTTTCTTTCAAGAGTTGTTACAGGAGCGGACGAGGCAATTGATAGGTGTGTTTTTCTCGTTCAGTAGTTCACTGGGCTCGTTAGCAGCTTAATGCGCTCGGTTACTGAGTCTGCTAGTTGACTTCGGTGTACACGAGTAGACTGCTGATTTCGTAAACTGTCATCGTGTGGGTGGATTGTTTGGGGTGTATGAACAGAACAAACTCCTGCTGCAGATTCAGCGGCGAAGGCAAAAGCCCTCAAATCGTTCCAAGCAAAATTGCTAAAACCAAATAATACCTCAGAGCCGCCGCTTCCTGGGTACAACTGCTGCTGCTGCTGTTGCAGCTGCTGCTGTTACTGGCATTGGTTTCCTTGGTGTTCTTCTAGGCGCTGTTGCTTCTACTGTTGCTGTTGTTGCTGCGATGACAGCAAAGGGGCCGTTGCACATGCCAGGTCTT